CCCCCCCCCCCCCCCAAATGAGCAATGCCCTTGTCCTCAAGAGTGAATGAAGGAAATTTGGTCTTCAAAGCAGCATCAACTTCCCATGTTGCATATGAATTGTCCAGATCCTTTCACTTGACTAAGCATTGAGCAACAACCTTGTTGCCATTCTTGATGAGTCTTTTGGCAAGTATAGCTTCAGGGGATGGACATGAGGGATTGGAAAGATTATGACAGGAGGGTGAATGATTTCAGAAAAAAGTTCATAGCAGAATTTAAGTTGGGAAATATGGAAGGTGAAGTGTATTTGGATTTCTGGAGGTAAGAGCAGTTTGTAGGCAACAGAGCCAACTCTTTCCACATTTGGATAGGGGCCAAAATATCTGGAAGTAAGCTTATGGTATGGAGAAGTAGACAAGGTAGACTACCTGTAGGGTTGGAGCTTAACAACAACCCAATCACCAACAACAAATTGTTTATCAGTTATGTGAGCATTGGCCTGGCTTTGCATCCCCTGTTGTTCTCTAGCCAAATGAAACTTTGCTAGTTGTAATTTAAATTCCCTGATCAAGGCAACTTCTTCAATAGAATCCAAGGAAGAATCCCCAGGAAGATAAGGCAGATGTAATGGAGGAGGATAACCATATAGCAACTTAAAATGGGAAGTTTGAATGGCAGAGTGAGTGCTAGAATTATACCACCATTCTGCTAACCGTAAGAAGGATGACCAATCATAGGGAGTGTCATCACATAAGCATCTTAGATAGGTCTCCAAATATCTATTAAGAACCTCTGTTTGCCCATCAGTTTGAGGATGATAAGCAGTAGAAGTATGCAATGCAACACCATGGTCTGACATGAATTCTTGCCAGAAGGAGCTGATGAAAATAGGATCTCTGTCACCGGTAATTGTGGCAGGAAAGCCATGAAGCTTATAGATGTGATCTAGGAATATAGGCACCAAGGATTGTGCAGAGTAAGGATGAGTAAGGGCAATGAAATGACCATATTTAGTTAGACTATCCACAATGACCCAAATAATAGTTCTGCCCTTGGACTTGGGTAATCCTTCAATGAAGGATATCATTTCTGATTCCTTTCCAATGAAAGTAAGATGGGACCTTTCTGGTGGTAGCATCAATGCTTGAGTGTCCTCCAGCTGGTGTAGAGTGCCATAAGGTCAAGATCTTAGTCCTCAAAGTGTTGTCATTACCAATAACTAGCTTGCCCTTTCTCCTGAGTTGGTTATTAAGCCAAGTGTAATGTTTTTGAGGTGTAGTTTGCAAGGTGCTGATGAGAGCTTGCAGCTCATGATCAGTGTTCCAGCTGTCTTCAATTTCCTTTCATAAATTTTCATGAACTGCAAATATCATCAAGGTCATGAGATCAACACCTGGGACCCTAGATAATGAATCAGCTACCATATTTTCCTTAACCTTTTTATACTGGATTTCAAAGTCAAATGGCAGGAGTTTGACAAGCCATCTGATTTGAGAATCAGTATGTAGCTTCTGCTCCAGGAGATACTTGAGAGATTTTTGATTAGTCCTTACAATAAAATGCTGTCCTAGGAGATAATATGACCACTTAGTCACTGCAAAGACTAAGGCCAACAACTCTCTTTCATAAACCGATAGAATGATATGCCTAGGAGCAAGTCATTTACTAATAAAGGCAATTAGATGATCATTCTGCATAAAGACAACCCCAATACATGTACCACTTGTATTTGTTTCTACTACAAAAGGAATGCCATAGTCAGGTAAAGCCAGTACAGGAGCAGAAGTGAGAGCAATCTTCAGTTCCTTGAAAGCATGTTCTGCAGCTTCAGACCAATGGAAATTATCCTTTTTGAGCAGCTCAGTTAAAGGTCTACTGATGAGTCCATAACCTTTAATAAACTTCCTGTAGTAGCCAGCCAACCCCAGAAAACCTCTCAATTGTTTAACATTGGTAGGAGTAGGTCATTGTTGCACTGCACCAATCTTTTTAGGATCAGTGGAAACACCCTCAACAGAGATGAAATGACCTAAGTATTCCACCCTAGAAACTCCAAAAGCACACTTGGATTGTTTAGCCAACAAGCTGTGTTGCACCATGGTATCAAAGACTTGTTGGAGATGCATAACATGATCTTGCAAGTTGCCACTGTATATCAGAATATCATCAAAGAACACCATGACAAATTTCCTTAAGAAATGCTGAAACAGGTGATTCATTAAGCACTGTAAAGTAGAGGGAGCATTGGTTAGCCCAAAAGGCATTACCAAGTATTCATAGTGGCCCATGTGTGTTTTAAAAGCTGTTTTTGGAATGCCATCCTTCACCATTCTAATCTGGTGATAGCCCGATCTCAAGTCTATTTTAGAGAAAATTATGGCAGCTGCCAATTCATCTAGAAAGTCATCTATGATTGGTATAGGAAATTTATCTTTGATAATACACTGATTCAACTCCTTGTAGTCTATACATAGCCTCCAGGACCCATCTTTTTTGCCTACAAGGACCATAGGGAAAGAAAAGGGACTGTTGCTGTATTGAATGATCCCTCCCTTGTTGTAGCATTTCCTGAACAAGATTTTCTATAATATCTTCTTCTTGGCTGAATACTTGTAGGGCCTAATGTTAACAACTTTAGCTCGTAGTTGCAAGGATATCTGATGATCAAATGGGCCCTGATAGTGGTAGTGAGGTAGGCTCAGCAAAGATCTGAGAGTGCCTTCTAAGTAGGTGCTCGATAGGAGCTGGAATATGATGCTCAATAGCCAAATGAATAGCATTAAGTTGACTACTGTTTGTTGATGTATGCTGAGCTGTGACCACATGTAGCATGAAGAGTTGGACCTCCTCGCCTTTCAGTTTACCTATTGCTTTAGAGTTGAGCACCTTACATTCATCAGTGACACCTTTCAATAAATGGAATTTGCCTTGGTAGTTGAATATCATAGTGAGGTTAGAGTGGTCCATAGTGACAGGCCCCAAGGTCTTCATCCATAAAGCACCCAATACCAAGTCATACTTACCTACTGGAAACACAATCAAATCAGAAGTGAATGTAGTACCCTGCAGGATCCATTCAAATTTCCTCACCACTCTTAAGGTAGCTTCCAAAGTATTATTTCCCAGACTCACATATCCTACCTTAGTAGGGTGAACTGTGCAGCCCAATCTCTTAGCAGACTCTTCATCAATGAAGTTGTGGGTACTTCCACCATCCAATAAAATCTGAATTGGTCGCCTATCACTGTATCCAGTCACATGAATGGTCTGAGCACCCTGCAGCCCATTAAGAGCACACAAGGAAATCATAGGAGTGTCACCTTTAGAATTGGACCATTCTTCTTTAGGTGAGTCACACTCATATTTAGACAAGTCTTCCTCCACCAGTTCTTCCTTAGGGAATTCCTAATTCATAACAAACATTTGCTTGGGAAGATTATATTTATGACCTGGAGTATACTTTTTATCACAGAAATAGCAAAGGCCTTTAGCTCTCCTAGCTTGCATCTCAACAGGAGATATGGTCCTTCTAGTTCTAGGAATGTTGGTAGAGTTTGGTGCTGGTAAGGCTAGTTTGGACATAAGTGCTGGGATAAGGTGGCTAGGTTTTTGTAGAGGTGGTTCATAGGTTGGTTTCCTCACAGGAAAAGAAGAGCCAGCTGAGGGATAGTGTTTGTGAGCTCTGCATTAGCTGCTAAGGTTGCCTCAGCCAACCTAGTTAACCTATAGGTTTTAGAGAGTGTTTGAGGTTCATGCAACTTTACAGGGTTCGCCAATTCTTCCTTCAAACCTCCTAAAAAACAGGAGATAGCTTGACTGACAGATAGATCACATTGAGCAAGCAAACGTGCAAAAGAAAATTGGCATTCCCTCACAGATCTAGTTTGCCTTAATTGTTTCAGTTCTAACATCGGATCTGCAAATTCTTCACCGGATGTTTCCACTAAAGAAGCCAAATATTCTTCCCAATTAAGTGGAAGTACTGAGTCTCTACATTTTAGATATAACTGGTGCCAACCTAATGCCTCATCATCCAAATTCATTGCAACCAAGTCGACCTTTAGGTTATCAAGTGTATTATCAACAATGAAGTATTGTTCATCTCTATACAACCATGTTTTTAGATTTTCCCCATTGAATCGAGGAAATAACAGATTATGCCCACGACCATTGAAATTAGTACGATAAGGGTTAGGACCTAAGATACCTTGTCTCATTTGAGCTACCTGATCTCTATTATTGGAAGTAGATGCACTCTCTCGAGATTGTTGATGTAACTGCACTCCATCAAAGGAGCTTTTGAGTGCACTGACCATCTGAATCATCTCTGTGTGCCTGCGCTTCATATCATCCCTTAAATCCTGTGTTTTTTTATCAATTAATACTCGCAAATCCACCTGCTGTGCTGCTAGGCCTTCATACGGCTCTTGTAAATCAGGAATTGGATTCTTAGTGACAACATCTACTGCCTTACGAGGACCCATCGCTTACGCAAGCTCTGATACCAATTGATTCCAAATGGTATCAAGTTGAGTCAATGGAACAGTGGTTCGAAAATAAGAGAGAAAGAGAGAATAGAAGAGGAGAGAACCAGAGAAAGGATATCAGATTTGTATTATGATAATTGCATAAGGTCTCTATTACAATCGCTCTTATTTATACTAATTGACAATTTAGGGGAATTCAAAAATAACAAATGCATAAAGTGTGACTCTCTTAACTAACTTTCCAGCCAAACTGAAATTTGAAAGAAAAAACCTAGCTGTCGTTTGAATTCGTCTAGTCAGCCGCCTAATCAGCTGTCCACGTTACTTGCAGCTGATATTTGTGTATCAGAGGTTGGCTGAAGATCGATTTTATAGACGATTTCCTTGTATACTTGTTAATGTAGAGGGGAAACTAGATGTGGAAACTCAATTGTTTTTGAGGAAGATGAAGATGGAGCTGAATTTGTCTATTTTGGCGTTGGTGGATAGTGATCCACGTGGATTTAAGTATTTTAATGAATCTGACTATTCTGACTAGTTTGAATATCAAATGGCTGGGGATTAGGCCTGGCGATTTGGAAAATATAAGATACGAGAGGAATGTAGGTTTCCTCTGTCTAAACAGGATATCAAGACACTGAAAGAGTTGTTGGATGAGGACTTTGTAAAGAAGAAGTCGGGGTGGGTTGAGGAGTTAGAATTTAATGCTAAAGAGTAAGCAAAAGGCCGAGACTGAGGCACTGAGCTCGCGGGGGTTTCAGTTTCTGTCTCAAGTGTATTTGCCTTTGAAGTTGCAAGAGCAAGAGCAGGATTGGCTATGAGGGTTACATTCAAGCACATTGGTTGTTAATGGTAGATGTTATATATTATCTGTAGAATTCCAATGTTGCTGTTTAAGAACTTGAATTTGTCGTGCATAATTTAACTTTTGTGGATACCAAACCTTCATCAAATTAGAGCTTACTTTTTGTTAACCTGGAAATTGGTTGTTTGTAATGGTTGATGTTATATCTTGTCTGGAGTTTGGAATCTTACTGTTAAAAACTTGATTCTGTGGTGCATGATTTAACTCTTTGTGGATCCCAAACCTTCGTCAAATTAGAGCTTAGCTTTTGTTAACATAAAATTTGATCTCATTCTATTGGCATTTTGGTTTATTGTATAGATTAGATCTACCTTGCATCAGTTATGCAACCAACCATATTGGTATGTTATGAAACAACTATGTTGCGCGGACTTTCCAAAATATTGCTGCACCCAGGGGTGGATTTAGGGGGCGGAAGGGGTTCACCCGAACTCCCTTCGCCGAAAAATTACATTGTATATATAAGGCAAAATCTATTTTTTACCTCTATTTATTAACTTTTGAATCCTCTTGACACAACCCAAAAGTGTAGCTTAGTGGTCAAGGGGGTTCAAAACTTTTGTAAGGGCATTGGTTCAACTTCCACTAGCTATAATTGTTTTTAATTTTTTTCTTTTTAAACTCCCTTCGCCGAAATCCTGCCTCCGCCACTGGCTGCAGCTGTGTCTGATCCTCAAAAAATGCAGGATCCAACATGCACCCGGAATCATTTTCGTAGAGTCCGGGCAACATAGTGAAACAAGACAGTGACCTATCATCAACTTTTTACCAAACAGGTCAAAAACTAAAATGTTTATGTCTATTATTGTGCTCTTCATCTCTTCCCTTAATTTATTACACCTGCAAATGTTATGTATATTTTAAACCAGATTGATGTTCTGTTGATTTAACTGAGGATGATATTAGCAAAAGTACTTATTTGAACGCCTGAGCTTTCTAGTCAATACACAACAAGAAGTTTATTTAGAAGAGGATTTGCTTCTGGTAGAAACATGAAGACAATTTTTCATGTTGTGTCATGTTATGGAACAGTTTGTCACATATAGCCACATGAGATATAAAATACTAAATGGTTGCATAAGTTTCCTTCAGTGTGGTGTTGCATTGGATTGTGACAACACAGTTTGTCATTTCTCTTCTCGTATCAAATCTGGTTGTTAAGTAAACTAGTACTACTTTTGGATGCACATTTTCAATTATATAATATGCTGAAGAAAGTAGCCATACCTAAACAAAAGGTATTAGACTTGTGTCATGTAAACAATGTTCAAACATTAAGTCTATTTTATTCAAAGCATGTTAAAGTTGTTTTTGTAGAGGAAAGACGTGTCATGCAAAGCTAAATGAATCGTTATTAAAAGAAGATAAGCTCAAGCTAGAACATTGGAGCCAAGGGACAAAAAAAAACTAATTCCGAAAAAGAAAAAACAAAAGATTTTTCTTGTTGTGTAATTCTTGTGTATATGAATGCAAATTCACATTTTGTCTTTCTCTTACGTTTGATATAAAAGATAAGGATAATAATCCCGGAATACAATTTGGAATTGTATATATCCCATATTTGATTGTAGATATTAGTTAATCATGGGATGAATTTTATACTAAGATGGTGGAATTAGTTATTCTATATAAAAAGCGAGATAGCTAATCCCATGAGATATCCTTATTTATCCCTCCATTGTATCAAACGACTCCTAAGATTATACTTGATAAGCATTTTTTGCCTTGTTACTGTTTGTTGATCTCTAACTATGCCCATGTGAGTAGGGGTGGGCATAGTTTGGGCAAACCCGAAATCCGAACCGAAATTCAAATTTTTTGAATTTTTGGATTATGGATTGGAGTTCGGATTTTATTTTTAAAAATTTTGGATTTTGGATTTGGGACTTCAAAATTTCGTATCTCCGAAAATCTGAAATTTTTGCACCTTATATTTAGCCTTACCGGTTAGACATTAGCCCATTAAGGCATTACCCATATACATACCTAATACTGATAAGTCTAAATCTCCAATAGTATCATGCTCATTAAACATTAGCCTGTATATTCAGTACAAATTACTAAGTTTAATATGGGATTTTCTACTAAATCAAATATAATATTGGGTTTTCTTTTCTCTCACGCCTCACCCACACAACCACACCGTGCATGCGTTTGTGAACACTGAAGAGTAAGGCTGAAGTTTACTAAAGATTGAATTTTGAGGTCACCTTTCCCAGTTAATCTTTTAATTTATAATAGTATAATTTGAATCAGTGTGATCTATTACATATTCAAGACCTTTTTTCTTTAAGAGGCATTATATAGAGTCAAGAAGATATCAAAAACTAAAGTATCTTTTGATTACCATCTTTCTAGTTCATTTAAATGATTATTTCTGTGTCAAATGTTTTCTATAAACATTTAAGTGATCTATAACTTTTAGGCTTAAAAGTCAGAACCGAAAATTCGAAAAATCCAATCCGATTAATTCGAAACCGAACTTAAATAATCCGATCCAATCCGAAATTATTTGGATTGGATTTGAATTGTAATTTCTTCAATCCGAAAACCAAAAATCAAAACCGCAATTTCATATTCAGTCCAAAACGCCCACCCCTACGTGTGAGTTTGGCAAAAACATAGTCAGTCCAAATTTAGATAAAAGATGAGGATTACCATAGGTTGATGACGAATAAAAGGTTAAATGAAGAATACTTTGCGTGCGTAGAATAGAAAAAGATTGGCATGTTGCAAACCTCACTCCTTCTGTTCTTTTCTATTTGCTCATTGAGCCAAATGAAGTATTTTCTTCTGATCTTTTCGAAGGGGACGGGGGGTTCACAATTGAGTAAAATGAAAGCTCACATTTCATAACGGCTACAAAAAGATGTCAAATTTCTTTACATAACTGTACAAAATAATCAAATAACTGTTCATACAAAATTGAGTTGGGAGATACAAATTATACTTCAACAAGACGTCTAAAGGACCTGCTACACATGCTACCAATTGAGGATGCAGTCACCACCTCTTAATGATCAAACTTTCAGTATACACCTTTCACTTAGCAACGTCTTCCCTATCCTTGCTGTCCGTTAGCTTCAGTCTTTGTACTGCTCATTTCTGGTCCTTCGTCTGCAGGTTTAGTTTCATTTGGTGATGGAAGATTGTTCGGCTTCCCCTGTCAAATAATTCACATATTGATCATTCTTAGGTCTATGTTTTCTCTTTCGTTCTTAGGTCTAAGTTGATACAGAAAGTTAAGGCTGGCCCTTAGGAAGAAGGGCCATAATAACCACTAAAACAATCATGCTGTAAAAGAGATGGATCTTCATGCAAAATGTAAAGTTTCATCTTTATGACACACTTCCAATTCATATTGGTAATGTCATCACCTTTTGTACATGATAAGGCATGTCTAGTGCGCCATACTTGTTTTGTGAAGGTTAGGCATTTATGTCCCCCTTCTTGTATGTTCGTATTGGATATAATTTATGCGTAGGGTACTAACCCCCAACCACAATGGTAAGCTTTTGACTAAAAGATACCACTAAAGCAATGTAATTTCACACCACTAATTAATGCATCTTCACTAGTTAAGCCTCCTATAAAAATATTCTGCTTATATTTATCATTGCCAAGAACAGATGCTCTTATTTATCATTTGTACTAATAACAGATATTACCCTATAAGTGAGGGGAATGTCAACAATACCTTGTTCCTATCACGCCAACCAAGGCCGAATGATAGTAGACCTGTCCTTTTTGCTGGTACACCTTGCGGAGAATCCGGTCTTACTGACCTGACAAATACATGGTAACTTTAATTCATCTATACACCAAAATAACAAGAAACAAAACACTTAAAGTGATTTTGAATGAGAAACTCCTTAACACGTACATTCACCATATTTTATTACACAACAATCTCATGGCTTATACAGTGATTCTTTCAGTAACGATGAAAGGTTCTTAAATTAATCTACTCTTCAAAATCTCTGTCAAAGACAGAATACCAACCAACACATTACCAAGACGTTGTTCAACTTTATGAATATTATTGAAAGAACGGATCTCAAACTCTTAACAGCTTAACGACTAAAGCTTAGACTTGTTATGATAGACACAGGAGAGAGTACGGATGCTGAGATGCTCTAAGACTAAGTAAAATGCTCGTGCAAGTAGTTTTAACTTTTTCTTTCACCAAATACCAAATGCTAAAAGTATCATATCGCCAAAAAATAAGGGATCGGCTGAGGGAAACAAATCATAAGTAAATATAATTCTTTTATTTTCCAACACCTGGGGCAACAAGCGTCACCATACACTGTCTGCTGACACTTGGGCTAGGTCTTTTCAGTTTAAAAAAATTAGATGATTGCTTAATCATTTTTGTGCAGGAACTTTTCCTTGTAACAGAAATTAGATAGCAGCTTGTCAAATGAATCTATTTTTGCATCCCAGGTGTGTTTAAAACTACCAAACTACCACCTTCCTTTTCCAGTAACATCTTCCTACCCAGCCACAACCACAGCCATTGAACTTCTATTTTGTGATGCTTTCCACCCTTCATTGACCACCTCATAATCCTATGTATGCTTTCATAATGTACGTATCTAGATTTAAGAATTGTCTTATATGCTTACTTCATCAATTAATTTTTTTTTATTTGCAATAGAGTTGTGCAGCTGGCTAATAGTCATTTACCCAATCCACATTCAACCTATGTTGTTTGGTGATGGTTCCCTGCTTCTTTCTAAGTCAGAGTAAGAGCATATTTGTTACATTAAATAGGTTATTCTCCTCTTTCAAGCTGCGTCCTGGATAAAAGTTAAATTGAGTAAGTGTTGGTGAATCAGAGTGGTTCTTCCGCAGGTTCGTTGCCAACTAACAACCCCTTAGCAGACTGTCTGGGTTGCTGCATTGGTCTATGCGAAATAAATACATTGGCGTATTTCACTAATTATAAGAAAGTGTAGTCATGGAACTATTGAGGTGAATCGAAGTTAGCTGCTTGAACAAAACAATATTTTCCTAGAAGGGGCAGATTGGATTTTAAGAAATCTCTTTCAAGTCTCCCAGAAAATCAGATGACTACTTTTGTACATCCCTAGTCCATCTTCTGAAAGCGCTCTTAGCTGTTGGAGTTTCGTTGACAGTGGAGGGGTATCATGGGCAACGCCATGTACAGTCAAGGGATTTTTGCCGGCTTGGGGAGAGAGTCATGTTGGGAGGACTAAGAAATTTTTACAAATGTTACCCAATTGATTATTTTGGTGCATCTGGAAAGGAACACGAAAGCTATTAATGTTCGCATAGTTCACCAGACGTCAGAAAAGGAAAATTGCCATGTTCTACACCTACCTTGGATGCACAAGGACCATTCATAAGAAAAAGAGATGATGTAAAATTTAGGGAATAACTCAGGACTCTCACACACCGTGGGGAAGATAGAGCTTTGACTTGACCAGATTCATACTGCAAGGTAGCTTCAAGCATTGATTCAGCCATGACAACTCTCTTCTCCATCTGAGCAACAGAAGCCATAGCCTTTTCATACTTTTCCTGCATGGAAAGGTTGTTCAGGAAATTTAAGTATCGCGTTATGAATATATTATGCTGAAACTGTAAGCTAAATGCCACTACTGTTGGCTTCACAAGAGAGCTTTTAATTGCAAAACTTAGCTATTTCATTACTTCTCAAAAACTCAATGCATTAAATGACACAAGAATGATTAGTAGTAGTGATGGACTGACAAGCACTGTCTTGGTGCTGGGCCAATTATATTAATGAAGTCTTACTACTTATCAAATAAAAGAATTAGCCATTGAACCACTGGATACCTTCCCAAGCTGCAATTGGCTAGTAGTGGAGTTTTGAGCACTCACCTTGGTAAATGTGCTTACGCATCAAAGAATTGTAATAGTTGCTTCACATAAACAAGTTAAATTGTTCATTGGTAATGGATATCAAACCTGAAGAACATGTACTGCATACTTTTGAGCAGCCACATCCTGCTCGGCAGCAATCCTAGCGTCTTCCGTGACCTTCTGTTCTTGCTCAACCCGCATCAAAACCTACAGGTTATATCTTAAGCATGTAAATATAGCTTTAAGAGCAGATTTACAGGATATACTTCGTTTAACTACCTGAAGCATTGCTTGCTCTTGCTCTTTCTTATCATCAAGGGCTTGTCGCAGTTCAGCCACTTCCTGCTCCAATTGCTCAACCTGCAGATTGTCGACAAAGCATCAGAATAATATGTTGACAACAGAATTTTCTTTGTTTTGGGAAGTCCAGAATAAACTAAGATTTTATGAATAGAGATAATAAAAATTTACTAGAAAAGTCTGTTTCCAAGTGAAATTTTCATCCATGTTTAAAGCGCATATAACTTATAATCAACCAGAAACACGAGTACTAAAATTAAACATATGTAAGAACATATACTCTTGCACTTAATTGTCGTCGGTTATCTTCTTTGACCATCTCCATAAGCGCCGTCTCCAACTCTTCAGCTCTGGAAAAGAAAATTACCATTTTTATATGTTTAGGTTAAAACCTTCCTTTTTCATAGTTTAGCATTGTCAATATCGAAATTTGTGGACACAATCTTCATGATTTAATCACAGAACAAAAATTACTACAGGAGATTCCGCATCAAAATGAACCAAAAGTTGGACTTTTGAAATAAAAATGCAAACCTCAGGGTAGCTGCTCTCTTCTCTTCCAGCATCCTACAGAGCTTAACCTTCAACCAAACAACCTGCACAAGAGCTGTTAATAATTGCACTTTAAAAAGAGATAGTGGTTAATTACTTTAGTTACTAAAACAGACAAGTAATTTTCTTAATCACAGAACACTAACAATTGCCACAGAACTCGGAGGAGTACTGCCCTGGACCTCTACCCTCCTCCCACTTATATGTCAGGATTTAGTCCTCAGCAAGGTTCGAACTCATGCCTCTACACATCATTTTACTTCCTTTACCGTTGGATCAAAGCCCTGGGGGTAATATATTTCAATAATCTACCTATATGCCAAATTTTTCTTCATGCACTAAACACATCTAATAGAAACCCCAATGCAGTATGCACGGAGTTCTACAAACGAAGACAGTAACAAGACTGACCCAAAAAAAAAATGCAGCAAATTCAACTTTCATTAGAAATTGGTTGGGCATGAAAGTCCCTGCCAACAATGCAAGGAGAAGTTGGAGATTCAGTTGGGTATTTAGCAGATGACAAAGGAATTCCCTCTCAGCATTCATTTTGCCCATACACATAAGATAAACAAAGAATGTATCCACATGTGGTTCCTTGAACTATGAGATAGGTCAACACCAAAAAGACGAAAGAATATATCCTTGGAGATTCTCTCGAGATGTAGGACATCAAAAAACCACAGGTTTTTTAATATCAGGGACAATGTAAAGTTGACAAACATTATTTTTCTCAAAGTGTTAACACTGAATGTACAAATGGAAGTACACAAATCAAAATGTCAGCCTCGGCTGAAAGCCAGGCAAAATAAGGTGAAGAAGCCCAAAAGCGACTTCTTTATTGGATATGCTAGGAGGACTGAACAAGTAACCTGTTCTTGAAGATCTGGAAGGGAATCCACATGTGAATCTATATTCAGGTTGTTGAAATATTCATCCAGACTTGCGGAGTTGGAATTTGAGTCTGATGTTTTATTGCCTATTTTCTTATCACCTTGCCGTTCCTCCGGCTTTGTTTCTTTTATAAATGATTCAGGATCATGCTTAAAACTATACAGCTTGGAGGCAAGACCTTTTGGGTCTTTCCTAACAGGCCCTCCTTGTGATCTCTCCTCAGTAACTGCAAGAACAGCTGGCCGATGTTTTTCTCTCAGTGCTAGCAATCTATCTTCAGTGACATTTAAGAAACCCATACAAGCTGTCAACACAAGTTGGCTACTATCAAAAGTTGAGCCAGTAAGGGATTGAAATAAAGTGATTGCATCCCCAGCGTCCTTAGTTGTAACTACAGCAGGACCTGCAAGATTTTGTTATGATCGTAATAATTGTCTAAGATAGCCTCAGTTGCTCCAGCTAAACGAGTTTGGCATGTAATGAAGAGTAATCACAATGAAATGTACTACCATACAACTCCATCAAAGCAAGTGCTGTTCGAAAGAGCATGACACGATTTCCCTCAAAGAGAAGCACATCCCAAACTCGAAGAACTGAAAGCAAAATAAACCATCAAGACTAAAAACTAATCAAATAATTTTCAACAAGAACATGAACTGTTAAAACCAGCTATACGTTTAATGAAATTTCCACATCAGAACAAGAACCTTACCACTTTCCCAGGGAAGCACATTTACGAAAATTGAAAGAAACCAAGGTCCGGAAATCCATGCCACTTGCATTCCCAAGTAATCCAGATGATTGACTGCAGCAAAAGGATCATCTAATAAGAAACAGCAATAGGAGTGTTTTGATGTGGAAAGCAGACAACCAAGATAAAACAGATAAAAGCAATGGACAGACCAAGTTTCGGAAACCTTTCACGCACTAACTCCTCAAACACCAGTTGATCCACCTAATGGGAAAAAAAGATCATTTGTATGAGTAATGATCATCCTGCATAGCCAGAATCAGGTCTATGGTTATGCAAACCTGGGATTCTATCATTTCTTGCGAGTAACAGCCGTCAAAGTATTCATCGATAATACCCACCAATGCCCTGGAGATTCAAAACAACCCGCCCATAACGGTATTTAGTTGCATTAATGAAAATAAATATAAAAAATAAACAACGTAGTTCAGTTACTAAAATAGCATGAATNGTATGGTTATGCAAACCTGGGATTCTATCATCTCTTGCGAGTAACAGCCGTCAAAGTATTCATCGATAATACCCACCAATGCCCTGGAGATTCAAAACAACCCGCCTATAACGTTAGTTTAGTTGCATTAATGAAAATAAATATAAAAAATAAACACCGTTGTTTAGTTACTAAAATAGCATGAATGAAGGTCACCAGATACTGCCAATAAACAAACTCAACCTCAAGAAATGTATAAAATACTTCGGCAATAACCACTACTGTACATAAAAAAATATACATGTATATTTACAAGTCACATGGAAGAAAGCCAATATTCTAGATTGTCCCTAGTAGAGACGTAACAGCTCTAGTCGCTTCTGATGTTCCACCATAATATCAACCTTGCATAAGCAGTCTTCTAGTTGCAATTTTGACAAACTTAACAATGCCCAATTGAAAGAAATCCACAAGGGACGAAGTTGATAAAGAGTAATCCTACTTAAACAAGTAAACATTATAACGCATGAATAAAAAGCGTAAGAATAGAAATGGTATAATCAACCCTATAGAATCTGATATTGAATTGAATCTTCTGTCATTTTAGTGAAGTGTGAAAAAAAAAAGAGAAAAATCTGAGAGATCTACAAGGAAAAGAAGTTTGCAGTGCACTAAGCGATATTATACAAGTCACAAGCATATTTTGTGCAGATGCAAATCATTCTTTATGGATGATATGAAAAAGCTAAAGGCTGTAGTATACTGATTAATGAAAGTTTTAATAGGTTTAAAAGAATGAGTTAGAAAAGCCCAAAGCAATTGTAGAATACCATCCAAGAGCCACAACTCATATACGAATGCATAAAAGGGAGGTAGAGAAGGGGGAGTTCACAAAATTCTGTAGCTTTGCTCTTTCTTTTCTGAAGGGTGTCGGGTGGAGGTTGGAAACAGGTGTATCACCTGTTTATTTTTTAGTTCTTTATCTTGTCTCAAAATGTTTGCTAAATAGAACCCTCCACAATTTAGAAGATTCAAATAAAAAAGGTAAAGCTTAAAATTACCATTAGCAAAGCGAGACTGGCATTTGCTCTACACTAAAGCTAGTTGTCACCAAGAAAAAGATCTTTCTAAGTTAAGCCCAGGTACATGTATCCCTATCTTCCTCACCCCCCCTCCCCCAAAAAAAATTAAATTGACTATTAATGGTCATGCTTGACTTGCACAACCTTAAAATGATCTGATTTTTTAATCATGTACTTCATTCAGGATGCAAATATTTTTATGAAATTCACAACACATAAAATCACTTTCTCACTTTCTGAAGAAATGCCAAAGTAGGGTGGAAAACTTCTAGCAATAAATTGAGACAAATAATGGGGTTAAAAACTTTTAGCAATAAATTGAGACAAATAATGGGGTTAAAAACTTTTAGCAATAAATTGAGACAAATAATGGGGTTGTTTTGAAGTCTGTGAGAGAATAGTTTTAAAATGCCAAAATCATGGCAAGATGAACAATGAATTTAGCCATTGTCAACAAAGTGAAATAAATAATTGTTGAAAAAAAAAAGTAACTGCTCCATTGCTGATATAGGAATTAACACTACTGCAATCATTGGAATTGAAACGGTCTTGAGCCAAAGGCAACTAGGTTTAACTTCTCATGACACCGAAACGGAATACAAAATTGACACATGAGCAATCTAATTCAGATGTTTAAATCGATGTGTAACATGAAGTCACACTTGTCTTAGTCAAAACATATCTAGTTTTGGTCTGAAAATTTAGTCCTATCGATATCAAAATGAAGATGAAAGCTTCAGAATGCTATCATCTTTTGTTGTTTATCATCCTTGCTATTCCACCTATATTCCTAGTATCATAGTTCACTTTACATTCGAGGTGTCGCAGCTCATACTATTGTTGTAATCACATCCTCCACCATCAAATCATCTAACAACTTAAGCTACTTTAATATGGTATCAGGGCCTCTATAATCTTGGTAGAGACTCAAATAGTCTCACTACCACTGGGTGGTGCAGGCAAATGTGTGTTGCCCGTCTAACTAATGTTTTTGTTTATAACCATGGTGTCCGGGCCAACTTGCTCGTATCTCGACTAATCCACGGGATACCTGCTACCTCCCACTAGCAACAAGTATCACGTAACTCTATCCACCAAGGCTTGGAGCCTTGGACAGATGGGAAGAAATAACCTAGTGTTTTTGACTCTGCTGGGATTTGAACCTGAGACCTCATGGTTCACAATCACTTCATTGACCACTAGGCTATACCCTTGGGTACCAATGTTTTCTTTTTTCTTTTTCGTCTTCCTTCCTATGTTCAATGTTGCTCCTCTCTCCAACAATCGATAGTGTTGTTGAAGACATAATTGGATAAATAAAAGTATGCTCTCTCTGACAGCTTAAACTTTGTTGAGATGGTCATACACTTTAACATGGTATCATGTTCAAGGTTCGAATATCACCGCCACCCATTTTCGAAAAGAATTTCCACGTTCTTGGTCCATGAAAAAAGGAATCAGGTTCGCACGTGGGGGGTACGTTAAAGATATAAGTATATAAAGGTGTGTTCACTTTAACAGCTTAAACTTTTAGATGAGATGGTTGCACACTTCAACATGTGCTACTCTTCATAAGACTATTCAGGTGTCATTCTGTCTCTCTAGGATCGGTCAAGCACCGTTCATCTCTATGGCTCCCCATTATTCTGCCAATTCAAATCATGTTGATACTATTCGGGAGATTTTCAACACCATATCTCTTTTTGTTAATTGAGAATAAACTCCTTTCCATGTGAAGTGTGTGACACATTTTCTTATGGTGTGCAATTACTAACGACTTCCTACATGAGAGAATTCCAACACCACTTTTCTTTTCTTTTTGGTGACTGTACACTATTCCTGACGAGATTTTGGCAATAATTTTCTATGTTTTCAAAATAAGCAAACTCAAGTTGGATTCCCCACTTAGAGTTTGAGGGAGCATGTCAGAATATCAAGTAAATGTATCTAGATTCATGCACGTCTAGATTCATTGTACTTGAATAAGAAAAATCTTATTGAATATTATATCGGACAGAATATCCTGTATTTAATTTAGAATATTCACCTACCTTATTAGCATAGGGATTCATTACCTATCATATTATACATAACTTAAGACAAATAAGGAGCACCTCTTTTACATTATTAATCAAGTCAATAAGAAGCTACTCTATTTTCACATAATTAATTTTAGTAGTCCTTCACAAAACACTGATCAGACAAACGGCAGGACATCTAGCCAGTAATGAAAGTAATTTGAGTCTTAACAAGAACATAGATGCTCTGATACCATGTTGAAAAAGTATAATCTTTAGATGAGATGGTCATCTCAAACTAGAAAAGCTTCTCATTGACTTGTTGAACAATGTACAAAAGATGCTCCTTATATAAGAGCCTTAGGTTATATATATTTAATAGATAATTAATCCATAATAACCAAATATTCTTTAAATAAAATAGAATATACTAAGGTATCCTATAGAATATCTTGGAAGATTTTCCTAACTAAAATACGATGAATCTAGACGTGTATAAACCTAGACATATATTTACTTGATATTCTAACAATTGGTTTTTGATAGGTATATGCTAACAATTGTTCTCCTTAGTGCTATGAATCTGTGAGCTTGCACCACACTTATTGTTGACTAGCTCTTGATCATTCATCTGTTGAAAACCAACACAATACTCAAGAACTAATGAGCAACTGAACTTCCCTAAACTTGTTGGTGGAGTTATTCACCCTACTCTCCAACTCACATAATAGATGAACCATTCCTAGTGAATATAATTAAACAAATGTTTGATAGAATACTTTTCCAAAAGACTGTAATTGTTACAAACTTTGGACTTACATAAAAAAAAAATTACTACGGAATTAAATAATTAAAGAGAAAAATATAAGCTCCAATTGCATTCGAGTAACATTCTCTCCCGGGGTATAAAACGAGCATTCCATGTGAAAAGAAGATATAAGAAGTTTCACTGAGAACTTACCAAAATGCATTTTCTTCTGGCATCATTAGAAGTAAGATACCAGCAAAAAAATTCATTGCCTGCAAGAAGATAACAGAAAATAAGGACATATGGCTTAGAATGCAGGAGGAACAATCAGAAAATAAAACTCCATGCACGTCAATGGAAAAATGAAAAGAATAAGTACCACCCCAAATGGTAATTGCTTCCATCTAATCTTGTAGCTGTTAAGGAAAATACATCATGCTTAGACAAGGCAACCTCGAATTTTTAAAAATCATTGCAACAATTCCTCTCATTTTATTTCCCTTTTTTATTTTGGAATTTCATGGATTTCTCTTCCATTCATTATTTTATGAAAAATTGAAGGCACACGTGTAGTTTTCATAAGACTACAGATCCTTTTCGAGTAAGCACCTCTCATCTAGCTTAAAATTACCCCCTGCCATACGCAAATGAGCCTATATCAGACTCAAAATTCTCTATTTATTCATCCCACCCCCATGTGATGGGGTTGTAAAACATTGCCAAACGTTTCTCTTCTGCCTCGATCTCAAACAAGTCCCACAATGCACAATCTTAGACCTTTTTTTATCAGGAACACAACCTTCAACCATAATATGGAATGTGTAATAGTTTGTTTACTTAGCTAACAAGTACTCCCTCCATGTCAAACGAACACATCGGCAGAAAGATTAGAACAGAACGAATTGAATAAGATGAGAATTGAGTCCTAGGCTGTTACCAAACAAGTCATAGATGTGTTCAAAACAAATTAAAGTACATACAAAATTAGATTGCTTCTAGAAAAGAGGTCAAATCAAGACCACATATCATAGAGGGTAAAAAACAGAAAGGAGATCCCATATTAAGACCATATTAAGATTAGATTGTTATAGTTGGAATCTTTTAATGTAGAACACTTACGCTAGTAAAGAAAAAGAGCCAGGTAAATTAATTGCTATTAACGAAAATGGGCCACATAAATTGAAACACATAGTGGGACGGTATTCATATATTAATACCCATATAGTTAGTACTTAGTACTATATTCAATCAACAGTTTTATTTCCACAACTCATTGTTTCCACATTTGTCGGTTCTCTCCATTTCTGTACGAATTTTCAAGGTGCTACATTAGCATTTATACTCTTGGAAGATATCCTCATCTAGCATGTCAACTCGACACAACTTATAGTCTCCTTCCTCATAACTAAAAGCAGGATTTTTGAAACCAACATTGAGGAAACGAAAGAAATGGTAAAGGAACACTTCTGCAAAAATGTCACACCTGGCAATACCCTACATCTGGATTGTGTCGAGCATATGCTATAAGTACACGCCTTAAGGAATTTCGACCATTCTCATCTAGTGCAGGATGTCCAGGAAAGGTTCGAGGAAGATCCTGTAAATATCCAAAGCATTAGCCTGGAGAGTAACCTCTGCTGCATGCAAAGAAAATGCAATCAAATATGAAATGAAAGTGATAATGTACATACAGATATGTGCGGCCAGTTATATGTCAATGAAAGAGCAAGAGAGAAAAGAAAAAGCAAAGAGAAGAATAAAATGTATGAAAGTGGATATTATACACTAGTCAAAGAGGATGAACATCCATTGGCAGCTGGAAATGCATTAGTGAGGAGGATGCTCAAAATAAGCAAAAATTGGTAGAACTTGATTTTGGACAAGTGGAAAAGAGAAACTCAAGAAAGGCTGAAGATGACAAAGATTATTTCTGAAGTATCTGTTACAAACACATTGTTGAATGACCAACCAGAATGGACCCTAAAAAGAAGTAGCACCTACGAATTGAAAAGACTGAACGATAAAGTCCAGGGCCCATGCATCTAATGACCTTCTCAATCTGCTTTCTCAATTTCTCTGGCACGTGAGCGCTTTCTTTACTCCGTTGCTTATTCTCTTCAGCCAATGACGATTCGTCATGCTCCTGACCATCACCAGTCTCACTTTCTGGATCAAGCAAATTCACGTAATATCTCTCCAGCCGACGTGCTTTAACTCCAACAAAAGCTTGCCATACCTGGACAATCAATTGGGCTTAGCTACAAGATTGTTTTTGATGTTAAGTTTCAGCAAACCATTAAACTGGTAGAAATGCCAGGAAATACCTCTCCCCTAAGATCCCTTGGAACTCCTCCACGAACAAGGAATTCTAGCTCTTTCCAAGGAAAGGAAAGATCAGGAGAAACTACACTGCCGGCAGTACCTACTTCTGCAGAGGTATTGGTAGCATCACCCAATTCTTCATTGACAGAACATTCTTCCCCATTTTCTTCTTCTGACTCCTCTGGCTCTTTAATAGTTGCAAGATGATTGTGAATACCAGTTGACAGTTCAGCTTTCACATTTGGTGTCTTCTTCACACGAAAGCTCATCAGATGATCAATGCGACTCAAGGATGCTCTGATTTCGGCCCAAGTATAAGCCTGACAGGATTTTGCTGGTAGATAAGCTGGCAACTCGCCTTTAAGATCACTTTCCGTTTTAATGTCTGAGACTGGCTTCTCTCCTGCTGAACCATCACCTTCTTCTTGAGACACGTGCACAGGAACCGTTTGCTGCTCGTTCCTAACTTCAAAATCCACAGTCTGGACGTCCAACTTCTCTGAAGCATGTGGCTGACTTGATTCTTCTTGGTTATCAAGAAAGCTCTTCCACTTCTCTGATCTTTCTTCTTCCTCTTCCTAAAAACATACATATTAAACTGTGTTAGGACTTAGGATTACTCCAGTAAAGATTCAGATGATTCATGCATTTCTATCAGAGCACAGCACAGCCAAACACCTAGCAATTACCCTATATATAGTAGCGTACTCTCTGTATCTTTGAAGATGTTGTGGCCTCACAGTAAATCCATACGCATCCCTGTCAAAACAACAAAAGATTATGCTTTACATTTCAACTAATTTTACTTTCAGATACACATCTCAACAGAAGTTTAATCGCCAAGTACAGAAAACCAAAAGTTTAATCATAGCTTTTGTGGGTGAAAAGTAGCATGAAGGTGGTGCACAAAAAAAAACGCAAAAACAGTCGAATCCTGCTAAATTGTACAAACATGCACTTCAATTGAGCAATTTAACCAAATTAATTTGTGAAGGGCCAAATCAATTGCCAAAACACTTATACCTGGCATCAACATCCAAAGAACGCTTACTCAAGAAGGATAACAACATACTTCATCAAAGCCTCCGACCCTACAGCCCATGTCGCTCTTTTTTCACCTCACGCAAACTCAGATAAAAAAAACACATAGACCAATTGACATGAAAGACATTCCTCCCACTAACACATTCCCTCTTTCCACCAAGTTCTCGGATTCGAGAAATTCTTCCCCAAATTCTAATACATATATAATCAAATGCGCCCGAAACCTAATTCTACTTCTTATCCAATAAAAAACAAAATCTAATAATTCAGCCAAAATCTTGAATCTATCTCTATCCCTTAACTCACAACTAAAAGAGGTATATACAAATAGCTACAATTTCACCGATCTTTTTTTAAAAAAAGGTTCTTTATTCTGAATCAATAAGTGATCAACAAATGAGTCATCAATCAATCAAATGAGTTAACTCGCTAACCATTTCATCAGAAAAACTAAAAATTGGCTTTTTCCCTATATTATAATCTAATAGCCAAGTGTAAATTTTCCATGCATAAACATTTCTTGAATGTCGGCCTTAGTTACACCTGTGCAGCTCAAATACACATATACATTGAAAATAATTATAAATTCCCATTTTCTGAAAATTAGACATATTGTTACGTGTTAGATTACACTCGATGCAGATAAAATCCTAAATGTGGATAAATTTGAGCTTATTTTATGTGGAAAGAAAATTTTAAAAAAAATGTACCTTTTTGGTTCAAAATTGGGGAAAAAAGGAGAGCTTTTAACCGTCATTTTTGGAGGAGCTTTGGATCAATGGAGAAGTGGGAATCTAGGGTTTTTCGGATGATCGAATGGCTACTTTTTCATATCGGAATTCAACAGTTTCTCCTTAATCTTCTCCTTTGGCTTCGCTCTCTGTTTCTTTTCTCTGTACTGTAATTGTAATTGTAATTGTAATTGTAATATATGCGGGGGTTGAAATGTAAACTGAAACTCCTTTTGGGGGATCAGTGGGTTTTAAGGTAGGGATCAGTGGGTTATAAACAGGGAGTTACTCCCTTTCTTAAAATAAAATATTACTCCACCAAATATCATATTTAATTTAGTTAAATATAGTTTGGCTTTTTTCCTTTCATATCTGTTCGGTTCGGTAAATTCAATTTGTTCGACTCGAATATTAACGAATGCATAAAGTCATAAACTATAATATTCTTAAGAAAGGTATTCACAAATATAAAATAAAATATTATAATATAGTAGGGAAAAAAAAGATGAAAACCAAAAATAATAAACCTAAACGGGAGAAAGGTCGAAACGTAAGTATGTAACCAAAAAAAAAGAGGAAAAGACAGTTGAAAATAAATGGGGTAAAAGGTTAAAGAGAACTATAAAAATAACGAAAAGTAAAATTTAGAACTTAAATATTTATATTATAATCAATAATATGTGTACGATATTAGTATTTCGGTATTTTATTTTTGAATACCGAATACCATACCTAACACCAATTTTTGTATAAAATTTAAATCAAATACCAAAGAATCGGATATCAAATATCAAAATTTTCGATTTCGATATGGTAATTCGGTATTTACCAAATTATGCACCGCCCTAATTATAAGGGTAACGGAATGTTTTTCTTATTTTATTAAAAAGGGAAAGAAAGAGAGATTACGGTTTATATACCTTGGGGTATAAATTGATATTTTGTGTTGATTCAACTATTTGTATCAATATGAATGTGAAGTGTATACTTCGAAAATATACAACGTACATAAGTTTTATTGTGTAGCATTCTAAAAGAGGCAAAATTTGTAAATAGGTACCGAATAGTATATATTTTATGTCTCCTGAATAATCATGAAAAAAAAACTATTTTTTAATAGTGGTATTCGAGCATGAGCGCGTAACATCTATTTCATTGGATGTCTACGTACTACCATACATAGATGATATCACTTACTCTTTTTTAGTCTCAGTTAAAATATGAATTGAAATTTCATTTTTTGCAAAAAAACAAGTAATTAAATCAAATTCTTAAGCATATTAGCTAAACTATACCATATATGAATTATTTTGGTTTGTATTGATTATTATTGATTTTTTTACTATTATTATCTTTTTGTTATAAAATAAAGACAGTAAAGTAAAGACAAGTATAGAGAGAAACTGATATATTATTCAAATTTCAAACTTTTGTAAATAATGAACTAAATTCTCCTCTATTTATAGAAGAAAGGAAGGTATTGTGTAAGCTGCTACTGCAAGCTGCTGCGTAAGCTGCTACTGCAAGCTGCTGTGTAAGCTGCTTGTAAGCTGTTGTGTAAGCTGCTTGTAAGTTGCTATTCTAAGCTGTTGTGCCAGATATAGATAATCTTCTACCATAGGTAATATTTATCCATAACGGAGTACCGAAAGGATAAGCTTCTCCAAGAGGCTTATTTTCAATAGAGTACTAAATAGATAAACATATTTACGGCGGAGTCTCATATGGATGCTCTTCAGGAAGCTTATTTACAACGGAATACTAAATAAACATCCATGATATAATATATTTATAACACTCCCCCTTGGATGTTCATTAAAAGGTATTGTGCATCGTTAAAACCTTACTAGGAAAAAATCCTGTGGGAAAAAATCCTAGTGAAGGAAAAAGAGTACACATATTTAGTAATACGCATTGCTAGCTGCCTCATTAAAAACTTTATAAGGAAAACCCTGTAGGAAAAAACCTTAGTAAGGAAAAAAAAGTACATCGCGTATTTTACTCCCCCTGATGAAAACCTTGTTTCAAATATTTAAGTCTCCGCATTCCAATCTTGTATACCATCTTCTCAAAAGTTGAAGTTGGTAAAGATTTGGTNGTTGCACATCAATGTCATCATTTTTCTGAAGATCGTGTGTGTAGAATAATTTTGGTGAAATGTGCTTCGTTCTATCTCCTTTTATAAAGCATCCCTTCAATTGGGCTATGCATGCAGCATTGTCTTCGTATAAAATTGTGGGTCTTTTCTCACATTCCAAATTCTATTTTTCTCGAATAAAATGAATTATTGGTCTCAACCATACGTATTCCCTACTTGCTTCATGAATAACTATTATTTCAGCATGATTTGAAGAAGTAGCAACAATAGAATGCTTTGTGGAGCGCCATGATATGATAGTACCTCCACATGTAAAAATGTACCCGATTTGAGATCTAGATTTATGAAGATCAGATAAATAACCTGCATCTGCATAACCAACAAGATTTGCACTATCTTTGTTAGCATAAAACAAACTCATGTCAAGAGTTCTCTTTAAATATCGCAATATATGCTTAATCTCGTCCCAATGTCTCCGTGTAGGAGAAAAACTATATTTTGCTAGTAAATTAACAGAAAATGATATGTCATGCCTTGTAGCATTAGCAAGATACATTAGTGTACCAATTGCACTGAGATAGGGTACTTCGGGACCAAGGAGTTCCTCATCCTCTTCTGGAAGTCGGAACAAATCTTTATTCACTTCAAGTGATCGAACAACCATTGGTGTACTCAATGGGTACGCTTTGTCCATGTAAAAGCGTTTTAAGACCCTTTATGTATAGGCAGATTGATGGATAAAGATCTTGTTTGCTAAATGTTCAATTTGCAGACCAAGACAAAGTTTTGTCTTTCCAAGATCTTTCATCTCAATTTTTTTTTTAAGATATTCAATTGCCTTTTGGAGCTCTTCTGAAGTTCCAACAAGATTTATGTCATCAACATAAACAGCAAGTATAACAAATTCTGAAGTCATTTTCTTTATAAAAATACATGGACAAATAACATCATTTATGTAACCCTCTTTCAGCAAATATTCACTTAGCCGATTATACCATATGCGCCCAAATTGTTTTAAACCGTACAAAGATCTTTGTAATCTGATTGAATATATTTCCCGAGATTTTGAATATGCTTCAGGCATTTTAAATCCTTCAGGTATTTTCATGTAAATTTCATTATCAAGTGACCCGTACAGATAAGCTGTAACCACATCCATTAGATGTATTTCAAGCTTTTCACGTAAGCCTAAACTGATGAGATATCGAAATGTTATGGCATCCATAACTGGTGAATATGTTTCTTCATAATCGACTCCAGGTCGTTGTGAGAATCCTTGTGCAACAAGGAGAGCCTTGTATCTTTCAACTTTATTTTTATCATTCCTTTTTCGCACAAAAACCCATTTATGACCAACTGGCTTTATACCAGCAGGTGTTTGGACTACTGGTCCAAAGACCTCTCTTTTAGCAAGTGACTTCAATTCCGATTGAATTGACTCTTGTCATTTTGGCCAATCAGATCTTTGTCGACATTCTTCGATAGATCGGGGTTCAAGATTCTCACTATCTTGCATAATGTTAAGTGCAACATTATATGCAAAAATATTATCCACCACTATTTCAGATCGATTTAAATTAATCCCATCACCAGTAGAACTTATTAAAAGTTCCTCACTCACTTGAGTCTCGGGTTCATTGATTTCTTCAGAAATATCAGAACTAATCAGATCTTGGATCTCTTCGGGAGATCCCTTCATAATATCATTTTGATCTTTTGTCGATTTTCTTTTTCTAGGATTTCGATCCTTAGAACCCAAAGGTCTACCACGCTTCAGG